CCTGTCCATGAGAAAAATTGCTTCATGATGGGTTCCACGTCAATTGATGGAAATGCAGAAATGGCTACGATAAGATGCTGCCCGAACCCACCTGGAGCACTATGAGCGCGAAGGAGATGCTTTTTTACGCCATATCATTATGCTGGATGAGACTTGGGCCCGATCGTACTAGCCAGAACTGAAACGCCAATCAAACGAATGACATCATCATGGGTCACCACGACGTTCGAAATTTCGTCAGAACCCCAGCAATGTGAAAGTTATGGTGATTCTCGTGTACAACTGTGATGGTGTCATCCTAACGCATACCGTTCCCTCACAGACCGTCACTGCACAGTATTACTGCTCATTTTTGGAGCACAATCTCCGACCAGCTTTGAGAAAAAAACGGCGACACTTTCTGCAGAACGCTCCTCTTATTTTGCATGACAATACTCGGCCACATGCAGCGCAAGCTGTGACTGATTTGTTCAAGCGATGGGGCTGGGAAGTGCTTTACCATCCACCATACTCCCCAGATCTAAGCCCTTGTGACTATGACTTAATTCCTAAGATGAAAGAACCACTTCGTGGCCCTCGCTTCCAAACTGTTCCTGAGATTCTTGCGGCAGTAGACCGGTCCATTCAAACTATCAACAAAACAGGCGCTGCTACAGGTATTCTGCGACTTCCACATCGTTGGAAACGGGTTGTACACAATGCTGCCGACTATATTGAAGGACTGTAAAACATGGTGACATGAATCACTTTTGTATTCCTTGTAAATAAATAGTTGCCTTTATTAAAGTTCCAACCCTCGTATATGGACTTATAATGTGATGAAAACTGAGTTGGTAAAAGAATGGATTAAAATTTAATTTCCCAAAATAAATTGGCCTACTAAAACTAAATAAAATAGATAAGTAAATAGTAAAAAAATTGTGTAACAAAATAAATAATGATCTTTCTTAAAATACCACCCAATAAAACATGTCGAATAATTGTAAATTTACAAGCTTGAAAGCTAAAATTCTAAAAAGATTTCGGAAAATTCCGATGACACATATTAAAAGAAACAAGTCTACAAATTACAAGTACAAAGAAAGAGAAGAGATGAAACTAAACGCTACAAGTACTTCTTGCTGTTCAATAGCGGGGAGGCAATTTTATGGCTTATCCATCACACTAAGGGGAAGCAAACATACTGCCCTAGGCTTGGCCATCTTAGAGAGATTTCAGAAAACGAAAGCGATTTTTTTTATGGAGGAGTTTGTTGACTGACAACAGTTCCATTTTCAAAGCATTTCATTCCGAGGAGCGAGCTCGTTAATGGGTTAAACACGCAAACTGTATTTTACAAAAGAAAAAAAGTAAATTTGCTTCCATTGCTAATAATTGTCAGTCCCTTACCATTCAAATTAAAACATGCCTTTCTCCATTTTTACATTTGTTAGGCAAAATCATATGTATTATTTATTCATAGTTGTAAATGGCTTTATATTGCATATGGGAAAAATTAGGATTAAATTTATTTAATTATGAAAATATAACTAATGCATTAGTTTAAATTGACTTTTGCTTAAATATTGCATTTTGATATGGCGTGAGAATTTTTAGGTATTATTTAAATACTAACTTATTTTTATTATTACTGTAATTTTTTGAAAATTTTTATTGTTATTTATAGTATTCTTGTATGTACGAGACGTTTTACTTATAAAAGCATTCTATTTCGAATTTTCAGTACAGTACAAAGTCTGAAATCCGGACATCCAATATCTAATGATCTAAAATTCAGACCTCAAAACAGCCAACAATTTTTCTTAATGCTTTACACATGTGCATATGATCCCCCCCATAAATAAAACATGTGGAGAGTCCTTATTCTAAATTTCCCTTCAGCACTAAATAAATACCTTGTTATTGAAGAAACAATAATTTAGCATAAGCTTGTGTCATCAATAATTTGGCTCTGTAGCTGTATGCTCCATGGCATACATCTCAAACTGAAGCATTCTAGATAGAAACATCATTGATTTTACGCCTACTAATGTTTTATTTCTCTGACACGACCCTGTCGAATCATTGTTTATTATATTTTGCTTTTATCACTGCATGTTTATCTACACAACAACTTGAGTAATGACTCATATAGCAATGCCCAATCAATTTTCTTTTTATATTCATAATTTAATAAGTAAAGAATATGGTAACCTTTTATATTGACATTATGCTTGGCAGTGATTACAGATTTAAGTTAAATGTGCTAAGGAATATTAACGAGGAAATATTTAACAAAGATTTGTTTCCATATGCTAAAAATAGATTTTGTTAATGATACTCATTGGCCAAAAGATTACATTTAGTGCTATTTGAATTAAGAATAACTGATTTGTTTTTCACATAAACCCAGAACCGGCGCCAGAGCTCATATGCATGCATCGGGCGGCAGAATTTAGGGAAGACAAGATTTTTGGAATTTAGAAAAGCACTGAGCAACAAAATTAAGGGATGAAAATATTTTTGGAATTTAGGTAAAGCACTGGGATGCAAAAACAGAAAGGCACTTAATAGCAGAATTTAGGATCCGCAGAGACTGCATCAGGTGGTAAGATATCTAGAACCGGCTGTCCTTAAGTGTATATGAGAATTTATTTATTCAGGACTCAGATAAGCCATAAAGACGTAAGTATAATAAATATCTAAACTAATACAATCAGGCTTAGTGAACAACTTGTATTTTAGACTAGAAGAGAAACACGCTAATGTGACAATCAAAATCGTAAATACAAGGTTGTTTTTACGATTTTAACTTGTATTTTGTCGCTAATCTCATTTTACATAGCCAATAATGTATAGCGGATGCTATTGAGCTAGGCTAAAATTATACTTTACTGAATCCAAGGAATTTCAGTCAAAATATAGCAGATTGTGCTATTCCTTAACTTTCTGATTTGATCCAGCATAATTATTTTTTGCAGGCTGTTTTTACTGCAGCAATTTTATGAAAATTAAAGTTTCAACTTTTGATTATGTTGAAAAGAGTTTCTAATTCAGGAGCTGCAACAGGGTCTACAAAGCAAAAGCATATGTCAATGTCCATTAAACAGAAAGTGGAATTTCTGCAAAAAATGGATAAAGGCACATCTGCCTCAAAATTATGCTAAGAGTATGGCATTGAAAAGTAAACTGTATATGGCATAAGAAAACCGAGAAAGAAACTTTTTGTGAATTCCGATACCCCACTTGCAATGAATAACAGAAAAATTATTCGTTATGCTAAGAGTGAAGATCATGACAAAGTGATGACTGCATAGGTCAGACAGCATCGCAGTGAGGGCATGCCATTGATGGGTCAAATGCTAATGGCTCAAGCTAAAATATTTCATTCAGAAATAAACTTAGAAATGGAGTGTACATATCGCAGGTTGGTTAACCAAACTTTAAAATCGCCATGGTATAAGGCAATTAAGAATATTAGGTGAAAAAGCTTCAGCTGATAATGAAGCTGCTGAACTATTTGCTGATGAATTCATTCAACTCACGAATAGTTAAAAGTTATCTCCAGAACAAATTTACAATGCTGATGAAATCGGTCTTTTCTAGCAATATGTACCGCAAAATACCTTGGCAATCTCTGTAGGAAAGGCTCCTACTCATGTCAAATATTTCAAAGCAAGACTAACAATTTTAGCATGCGCAAATGCTGCAGGAACACACAATTGTAAACTTTTCATAATCTGGAAAAAATGCATGACTTCAAGCATTTAAAGGAGTAAAGAGTTTCTCATTATATATCGTGTAAATAAAAGAACACAGATGACAAACGTTAACGAATGGTTAGTATGAAAATTATTTCATACCCGAGGCTCCGCAGAATTCGGTTGGTTTACCTGATGATGTAAAAATTATCCTGATTGTAGCCAACTGTTTGGCTCATACTTGACTTAAAATTTTAGTAAAGATAATGTATCCTTATTATTATTCTTTACTCCAAATTGTACATCCATCATTCAGTCTATAAATATCAGAATAGTGCATGTTCTGGAAATGCAAGTAGAATTTTAAAATCTATGTTAAATTTCTTGAACGATAGCAAGACTATTCAAGAAATTTTCAAATTGTAACTTAAAATCTGTTTTGTGGAGCATCACAAGATCATGGGAGGATGGGTCTCCAGATACTTTAAAAACTGCTTGGCACAATTTATGGCCAGCTAGCATATTTCATGGTGAGGATGAAAGCTGCAAATGTGAAGGTTTTCGGATATCGCAAACCAGAGGTTAAATTTTCCAACTAATGCATTTTTTAAAGAAATGGTAATAAATGAAAATGATATAACAGAAGTTTTTTATTGCAATGACAGTGCCCCAATTATAAACAAATTAACAGACATCAAATCTGCAGTATGATTCTATATCCAGAAAATACCTCTACCAGTGAAGAAAGTGACAATTTATTGAAAAAAAGAAAAATATTTTGACTGACGTTAGTCGGAATTCTCAACACAGCAGTTACAGGACTTGAACAATGGAACTTTGTAATTGAGTAAGAAATTGTGTCTGTCTACAGAATTAAAGAGAAAATATTAGCACCAAAAAAAAAAAAAAAAAAAAAAAAAAAAAAAAAAAAAAAAAAAGCAATGTAAACAACTTACATTGAAAGAAATGTTCAATAAAGTAAACAAATAAATATTAAGCTTTTTTTGTAAATTTTGTTACCCCTTTAGATCATAAATGCTTCACTAATTCATAAATCACAAGTTCATATTTATAATTTCTGCATGCATCTTGCAAGTTTTAAACTGGTGATCTAATATCTGGGAAAATCCCAAATCTGGAACTGCCAAAGTCCGGATCTCTGACTTTGTACTGTATCATCTTTGAACTGCAGTTTTCTAATGGAGTTGATCTCTGAAATATAATGTTCTGTAATAAAGTAATGTTAAGCCAGTAGGATTTAACATTTAATCATGAATTATTGTTGTTGAATTTTAAGATTTTTCTTCTGTTTTAATGCAGTTAACTTATGCGATGATCCTGGAGAAATAAAGAATGGTGCAAGAACACTTTTTGGATTAAATGTTAATAGCACTATTGTATATCACTGTGATGAAGGATATGAACTTAGGGGGAAAAGCACTCTCTTGTGTCTGGAAAATGGAAAATGGGATCTTGATAAACTCCCAATCTGTAAGATATCTCTGTGTTTGTATTTATTGAGTATAGCTAATAGAAATTAAATATTATATTTACTTTAAGCAGCAACTAAATTTTTTATTTATCTTTTGACCTCTTTTTCTATATGTGAAAAGAATATTTGCTTTTCTAAAATTATCTCCCCTTCCCTTTTTTTAAAGTTATAAACTTTTAGACACGCATGGGAAAATTTATTTATTTTTATTTATTAAATATAGATTCTTTATGATTTTAATTTTTTTTACATGTAATTTAATTGTAGCACTTTGAAATCAAAGATTTTAACGTATATAATTCCTCACAGAGAAAATGGCCACACATTAAAATTTTTTTTTAGATGTAGTTTTCAGAGCAAATGTAGATCAACAACAAAATTGATGCTTTTTTGGGTTATTACATCATCCGGTAGCATCATTAAATGGGAAATATTTTATTAAACGAACTCTTGAGACCTGCAACGTGGAAAATTATTTTTTTCTGCTGTTTTTAATACCTGAAGATGAAGTGGTGAAATTGGCTTTGAGTCGTTATTCAGAATTCTTTTGTCAAATAGATGTGTTTACAAAAAGTTCTTTGCTATAAATAATGTTTTTATATGTTAATATTGAGCTTTTTTTAATTAGTATTTTCAACAAAATTGTGTTGAATTCATTTCAAGGCTTCACAAGATTCTTCAGCAGATAAAGTGTATATCTTACTACAGTCAAAAGTCTTTAATCCGGACGTCCATAATCCGGAATGATCTATAATCCAAACCTCAAAGCTACACACATGCGCATAATACCTTTACGCATGTGCATGTGACATTTACGCATGCGCGTTTAATGTATAATGGACGGTATAGGCTAAGCTAAAATTATCTAATTATCTATTTCACTTAATGTTTCAGATAGCGTTGTTCCTTAATCTTCATATTGGATCTGGCTTATTATTTTTTGCAGACTGTTAGAGCAATTTTATAAAAGTAAGCTTGAACTTTCGATTATGTCAAAAAGAATTTCCGATTCTGGAGCTGCCAAAGGATCTACAAAGCGAAAGCATGTTTCGATGTCCATCAAACAAAAAGTGGAATTGCTGCAAAAAAAATGGGTAAAGGCATATCTTTTGTTTCTCTAACCATTCCGAAATCTGTTTATCAATTTCACGCTGCTCTGCGGGGGGGGGGGGGGGACATCGCGGCGCGCAATGAACTGGAAGTTGATCTGTCAGCACTATCCTTATCTTTAGGGCAGATGTTTTTATTTTATTCGGCTTATAATTCCTTACTAAATGTAGTATTTCATCTCGATGTACTCCGTCTTTGATATGGTTGAAATAAAATTCCTCGTCATTTTAAATATCACGAATACACATCAAATAGTTTTCTCATTGCAATTTTCTAATTTCGACTATGCGTAATGTATGCTTTACGCATGCGCACTTTGAAAGAAATGTTTAATAAAGTAAACAAGTAAATATTAAGCTTTTTTTTTGTAAATTTTGATACCTTTTAGATCATAATTGCTCTTTATTTCATAAATTATGGTGTCATATTTTTAATTTTATAATTTCTGTATGACATCTTACCAGATTTAAACTGATGATCTATAATCCGGAAAAACTGAAAATCCGGAATCGCCGAAGTCCCGACGAGTCCGGATTAAAGACTTTTGACTGTATTTATGTAAATAACCTGAATAGAGAAATTTTAATAATGTTTTATTGACAATTTGCATAAGTAAAAGTAAGAAGCTAAATAATTTTACTGTCATCATTGGAACACCACGCTACCACTGCTTTAAGGTCTGCTCTAGGAGGGGGAAATATTAAAGATTCTGCCATTAAGATTCTTAACAAATGCAGACATACAGCTGGAAAGGGGTGGAAGCATACATGTCAAAATACAGGTGTAAAGAAATGGAAAAATATGTATCATCCAGATCCCCTCCCCACTTACCCACAACAAAAAAAATTAGAATGGGCTTACTCCTTTATTTCAGGCTTTTCTCTCGTTTATTTTAAGTCAAGATTCTTGGTTAACAGTCTTAACTAGGCAAGCGACTTAAAATCTCTTCAATAAGATGATAGTTCCATACAAGAAGCTGCATCTAAATTTTAGAGATCATATACTAAATTTCCAATTGCCCAAAACAGGATTTCTTATATAAAAATTGAGAAGCATGTCACTCATTAATGTGTTACTCAATTTTCTACTTATAACAACTGTTATCCTCCAACAGAACACCTTCCTTATTCTAACACACAACATACTTAATCAAAGTATCAGAAGTTATAATGTAAAAACCAAGACCAGGAAAAACCCTGGAATTGTTAAATGTAAATATATATATAAAATAATCAAGAAATAATAAGTAAATATATATAAAATAATTAAGAAAATGGGATACATAATGTTGTCCAAGTGTGTTAAAGTTATCAATAATATGCTTGAGATAAATTATTCCTATTTGTTGGAAAACTGCCAAATTTTAGTAGTTTTTAAAGCCAGAAAAATCTGACATGGCTGTTGCCTGACATGTGGATCCAAACAGCTTACTCTCCATACTAGGTAAAACTGCTGAGTCAGCTGTAATTCAAAAAAAATATTCATTGTTACAGACACTAAGGCCATTGTTAAAGTGCAGTAGTTCAGCTCTTGGAAAAACATTCTTCTTCAGCCGTACTAAATCTCTCAAATGATTTCTTATAATTTACAAAGTAACCTCAGAGATAGTATGGATATCATTTCAGGCCATTCATCATGTTTGGCTGGTTGGATTCATATTCAAACTTATTACTTTCTTTTATGAAAAGCTTATTGCATTTATCATTTATTCCCATCTGACCAACAGCATAATTAAGTTCAGAAATGCATATTTCTAAAGCTGGTGAACTTTGGTTGCCATGCTCTGAAGATCTATGTTAAGTCTAATGCTTCTGAATATTATAAGAATGATATTCTGTGCTTTCTTGTAGTCATGTATACACATGGCAGCTTAGCAATCCTTGCACAAAATGTATCTCTTACTTTAGTTTCTTGAGCAATGCAACTTATAACACAATATACATATATAAGCATTAGATTTCTGGTTTCAAGCCAAAAAAAAAAAAAAACTGTTTTTAAAAAAAGATATTCTGTTCTGTAGGCAACTGAAAATTTGTGTCGATATAGTAATGCTTAGTATTATTACCTACATCAAGCAAATTAAATATCTAGATGTTATTTTAAATGTCTAGGTGCTTATGTGAAATTCCAAATGAAACATCTGACTTCCAAGCTTCAAGTTCATAACATGTACTGTCCCCCTTCAGTTTCTTGAAATGGTATTCTTTTAGTAAAAAATAATTTTTATTTCTGTCTTCTAATGCATTGTACAGGGTCTTTGTATATGAGTGGTGCAGTTCAAAGAATTAATAATAAATCGATGTATTACCATCCCCATGGTAAAGTCTATACTGTAAGCATTGACAGCTGTCCAAGTTTCTCACATGCTACCTGTTGTTTGCTTATTATACTTACCGTGCAGCCGCACCATCAGTTTCCAAGATGGGATCATAACAGGAAAAGGCTTTCTGTGTGCTCCATTTTGAGGTGTCCAGATCTGTGGCTACAATGCAGTGTGAGTTTCGTACATGGTTTAGGAAAGACACACCACACAAGAATAACATGTAAGTAGGTGGTACCAAAAATTCTTGAAAACTGGATGCCTATGTAAAGACAAGAGATCTAGTCGACCTTGTATGGTTGATGCAAATGTTGAGTCTGCAAGGCATTTTATTGAAGTCCTGCCAAGTCAGTAAAGCAAGCAGGAAATTGGACATGGCAAAGAATGTATTGTGAAAAATCTCTCATAAGTGGCTCTGTTTTAAACCATACCAAGTGGGGTTAGTGCATACCCTTATACCAGCTGACAAAGTGAAAAGGCATGGCTTTTGAGAAAAGATGCAGTTAAAAACTTAGGAAGATGGTTTTGTAGAAAGACTGATCTTCTGTGATGAAGCCACTTTACATGTAAGTGGCAAAGTGAACCATATACACAGATAGAGCATTAACATGGCTCTCTAAAAATGAAAATTTTCTGTGCAGTGTCCCACAAGAAAGTTGATGGCCCATTTTCCTTTAAACAGGAAACTGTGACCATTGACTCATTTCTAGAAATGTCGCAAACCTGGTTGTTACTTCAGCTGAACACCAATTATGATGAATACATTTTGCAACTGGATGGTGCTCCACCCCATTTTCACAGAAATGTACAAGAGCTTCTTAATTGCATTCTTTACCAATACTGGAGTGGACATGCTGCAACAGCAGACAACAGCCTTCTCCGATGGCCACCCACTTCGCCGGATTTAACACCATGCGATTTCTGTCTTTGGAGGTTTGTTAAAGCCCAAGTTTATGTATCACCAATGCCTGTGTCCCTTGAGGAAGTTTGTGATCATATAAAGCATGCACTGCCAGACCATCATGGCAGACATCTGAGGATGCAAAGAATTTGATTACAGTGTAGATAGATGTGTGTCATGTGACCAAGGGTACACATATTGAAGGATTGTGTTGGATGTCAAAAACTTGGACATTTGCTGCTACCTATGCTGTAAGGTTTGCCCACATAAAGTGATATATCAATTTATTGCTAATTTTTAAAACTGCACCTTTCATTTACAAGCACCCTGTATATTCATGTACGCTTATCTTATTTGGTATACACGTGTAACCTGAATACGAGCCAGTTTCCATTAGAAAATACTCCTTGAAGGCATCTCTCCTGTGAGGCAGATAGCCCTTGTGTGATTTACCATGTTTAAATAACCTACCTCATATCGTGTGGTACATACTAAAACATTCAGTTGACCCTTTTGTTTACTGATGCGAATTGTGTGTTTCATTTGCATGCAGATATCTTTTAATAAAGTTTTTTTCTCTTTCTTTTTAAAGATTTCATATACTCAAGCATACGAATTCCATAGTGTATGAACACCGGGGGGGGGGGAGATTGAATATTTGGCATATCATGAGTTTCAGAAAATATGTGTAGCTACTAGTGTGTTTTATCATTTGTTACCTAAAAGTAAATGCAAATCTGTTATAAAAAATTCGAATTTGACAACACAAACATGTAGAGTCTGCTAATGTGAGCACACGAACACTTACAGACTTCATGTCATCATTAACAGTGAAAAAAATAAAGATAAGCCAAAAAATTAGTTTTAGTATGTATCTGACTTATTAAAAAATTCTGTTGTCATTTGCTGTTAGTATTGAGACTATCATGAGTATATGCTTAAAACATGCTGTATGAGTTTAGTCATTTTCACCTGCAGTTTGTCATTTCAGTCAGCTGAATTCCATTTCAATAAAACATGATTTTTTCCCTAGTAATCAGTTTTTATCATCTTTTTTCTATTACTCCAAACCGTTAGTAACAGTAGTTTATGCATGGAATGTACATGAGTAGTTTATGTGTGTTAGCATTTCTCCCAAAGAGCTCAGAAGAGATGTGCCACTTCAATAAAAAAAAGGGTTGAATGCCCTAATATGTACTCTAGATTTTTCAGATTTGTCACAAAATGGATAATAATTTTTGATGAAATTGAACTAAAAAATCATATTTTTCCTTTTGCAGAAAATATACTATTGAATTACAAAACAGCTTGTTTAGGTGACAGTAGTTAAGTCATTATAAAGCAGAATACACTAGTGATTCAAAAAGTTGTCTTTTTACCTTAGTGCATTTCCTAGTCTCAGGACTGCCGCCAATACTGATGCAGTTGCAGAAGGCGGCAGAATTTAGAGGGTGCAGCGTTTGCACTGGATAGCAAAAAGTCTAGCACTGGCTGTGCCTAGTCTCCTCTCTCCAGAATAACAGATTGTGCATAGTAAAATTGTAAAAACTAAGCTAACGTTAAGAGGCATAAATTTCAAGTTTCTCATATGTCAGTGGTTTATTTGAGCAATTTTGCATTTCATTAATTATCTCAGAGACAAAATCATCAGCAGGAATGAAAGCTCTTCCTTAATAGAAATGTTTTATAAACAAATGCACAAATTATGTGAACACACACATCCCTTTATGCTTGGCATTTCTTTTGGTTGTCCCGTTGATAATGTGTGGGTATAAATTAATTTCTGTAAGATAAGGAATATGCAAGTTAAAGTTATAACTTTGATTTGTGATAGCTCTTTAAATCTCTTTTTCCATCCTTAAAATTGTAATATGCTTATAATAAATCTTTTTTCAAATGCATTATTTCAAGATTATATAATGCTAATGAGTATGCATTATTTCAAGATTACATAATGTTTCATATGTATTATATAATGCTAATGAGACACATCCTTGCATAATGATAAAAATGAACTTGTCTTTTATGTAATAACATAGCTAGCATCCCAGTTTTTCATCACATCTCCCAATCTCCTGTTATATTACCGAATCTGCTTGTTTTCAATTTTTAACCTTTACTAAGGGAAATGTTTTCCAACAATGAATAAATTTTATTGTATTAATGAAACTTAAATTGTGCAAGTAATTTTTCAGAATAATTTTCCTTCTTAAATTGTATTTGATTTGACTTGTACAGTAGACATGTAGAACTTTTTATTAAGTTTCAACCTGTATTTAATCAATTAATATTTATATATAATTTTGTTTTATATCAATATATGGTACATTACTATGTTTACTCACACAACAGCATTTACATTATTAATTTGATTTACATTGTATGTACAAGAACTTTGATAAGTAAAACTTTTCTTTCATACTTAAGATTTTTCTCAATATGAAAATGTAAGAAAATGGCAAAGTGAAGCCAAAGAACATCAAATTTAGAGTATCTGATTTGTATGTTCTTGGCTAATTTCACTTAATTAGTTAATTTTATGCCCTCAGTAGAAAAATTTGTTTAAAAAATTCATTATGTGTAAAATCGTTTATACTTTGTTTATAAGATTAACATAGATAGCTACCAGTTCTGTTTTACCAAATCGTTCTTTTATATTTAACAGCAAAATGATTAACTTTTATTTCATAAATGTTTTTTGAATTTCAAAGTCTTGAATTCCAGTTATTTGTGGGCATTCAAATGCAGTTTATTTTAACATGCAAGTGGGGCTAGCCACGCTTAAAATTGAAAATAGTGCACTGGTTTCAGTCATTAGATGTTTGAAGTAGGAATTTTGACATAAGTAATATTATGGCCTGTTTGTTATGCAAGTGGGGCTAGCCACACTTAAAATTGAAAATAGTGCACTGGTTTCAGTCATTAGATGTTTGAAGTAGGAATTTTGACATAAGTAATATTATGGCCTGTTTGTTTTGTTAGCTAGAAGATACTTTTTATTAGTCCTTTTTCATTTGCATGTTTTCAGAATGTAAGCAGTGTAATTTTATGACAATTTTTAGCATTTGATTGTCTAAAACATTTATCTGGATCGTAAATTAATCTGAATTTGTTTGCTGTCCATCATATTGACTTTATTTTTGTGTTTATGTTTTAATTGAATTTTGTAAAGTGTATGCAGTGGTAATTGATAAGCATTGTTAAGATTTAAAAGTATTGTTAAAGCTGGGTATATTGAAACGATAAGAATTATTAAGCATTATTGTACATAACATGTTTCTAAAACTGAACTTGATCATTGCAGGTGTTAAACCAATATCAACGCTAACTATCATTGGAATCGTTTTTGGCATAATTTTTATGATTGGCGTTGCAGTTGGTGGATATATATTGTTCAGATGGAGAGAAAAGAAAATAAGAGGTTATGGACAAAAAAGCAAAGCTTTAACTGCTGATGCGACTGACTTGGAAGAAATTACTGGATTAGATAAAGGAAAAAAGCCTGTACCTGTAACTGTTTTGTAATTTTATACTTTTTCTAAAGCTTAAAACTATTCTCTCCATCAAACAAGTACATCTAGAGACCTTGAAAAAAGTGTGCTTGAATAGAAGTTCCTTTATATGTGCAAAACTGTGTTATTGCACATTATGTATTATTATAGTTTGAATTAAATATGGATTGAAATGTTGAAAAAACATAAAGCTAAACAAAGCAAGTAAACCAAGTCTTCAAAGGAAGAATGTGCACAGTGATATTTGTTATACCCATTTACTGTTAAAGTATATGTCTGTGGTGCTTTGAGCTGAAGCATATCATTTTTAGCTAAGCTCTAAACAAATGTTTGTTTACTCTTTGTAAGCAATCAAAGTAAGTTTTCATTTGCTATTACATATATCATGATGCTACCCTGGGGTTGCATATTTATATTTCCATCTTAACACTTCTCAGAAAATGATGCATCTTTTTTTTTTTTTTTTTTTTTGTTGTTGTTCTGTTTATTTAATGCTTTTTGAAGAATGAAGCTTGTATGTTAGTATATCACAGACTGTCAATTTAATTGAGCTAGCTACAATTTTGTCATGTTTTTTATTTGTAAAAATTTATGTAATTCAGCTATAATTCTATCCATATATCTGTTGTTGAATACATTTTTCTGTCTGATCTGGAATTAATGCCTTAAAATAATATGATTATGGTCAAAATCACAATGTATATTGCCAGTTCTGTAAATATTTCAAGAATGTTGAATTGTGGCTGATGTTGCAAGAAACGTAAGAGTTATTGATCCTTATTGCAGGAGATATTACAGCTTTTCTTTTTTTAAAAATATCTGATGAGTTTGTATGAGTAACGTTAAAGTGCAGCAAGACCTTAAGTAGCCCAAACTGGCTGTTCTGATCTGTATTATTCTGTGTTGTTATATGTGAACAGCATATGATAATATCTGTAAAAAGAATGCCATTATATAATAATTATTGTATGTTGAGCTGCAAAAGCCTTTATATTTGGCTATAGCTTAAAAGTAAATTATATTTTATCAAAGCATATGAGGTTGAAAACGGTAACTTATATATTAATTTACATAAGTGTTAATTCAGAATTTTGCAGATGAGCATTATTATTAAAAGAACTGGGTTTGAAATAGCTTCATAATTTTTAACTAAAGTATGTTTTCATAATAAGAATCAAAATGAATTTGTAGTGTCTTTGTCTGTTTATATAGCATTTATTTATTTTTTTTTTCAGAATTTTCATACATATATGCTAGTCTTCATGTTTTATCGCTTAAAGAATTTATTTAAAGCTTTTTTTTTAATATAAATTATGTCTGTATAATTGCAGAGTAGCATTTTGCAGCAAGGCTTTTATTTTTTGAAAAGGAAAATTCCTTTAATTATTAGTTCTAATAATAATGTTTATTATGCATGACTTGAAGAAGTAATTTTATTTATTGCTTTTCTGTAGACATTTTTCAGTTCCTTTGCATTAAAAGATCACTTTTAATAATATAAGTTTAATGAAATATTTTGAAATTTTAGAACCATTTGGGGGCATTCCAGTATTTAATGAATGTTTAAAAATGATACAAGTATATCAAATGAGAGAAAAATCTTACTTTTATGGGCGTACCATGAGATAGTGTGTGTTTGATTCTAGTCCAATGCAATAAATTGAATATTGCAATCAGGATAGTTATATGAAGTTTCCTTATATAAAATTGTGTTCTCACTAGTGTATAGAGCAATAAGGCTGTTGGACTTTCATATCACCTATGTTTTCTTTGGAATAGCACTTTTAAATAAATTCAGAAACTTTTATTAAGCTTTCACAAATTGCTAAATGTTTGATGCAACATGCCTTTTAACTTCTGATTTAAAATTGGAGGCATGTGGCTGTTCTCTTTACCTAATGATGCATGATTATTAATAATTCTAATTTCAATGAAAAATTCGAAAAAAAAATTCATTGAAATTAAAATTTTTAAATTTTTCTTGGTGAAAAATTTATATACTGTGAGAGCTTACAGTCTGTGTAATAATTGCATGAAATTTTATAAAAATGCTGTAATAATCTGGGGAAAGGCAAGGTATTTATTAGGCTAATAATTTTAAATGTAGGCAGATTTCTAAAATTGAATATCTTTTAAAAATTTAAGTTGCGAGTACAATACTCTCAATACTTGAGGTCATTCATTATACATGTGTTATTTGGCATAATTTATATATATATGCAATGAATTTTAAAAAAATTGTTACGTTTACCAAAAACGATAAACATGATTGCCAGGAAACCTTACTTGTATGAAAGCAAAACAAGCATAAAATATAATAAAATAAGGTGTGTCTGTAAGCTGTATTTGTGATTTCACAGGAAGTGAAGTGTAACTGGAAATGTATATGTGTTTGTCTAATGGAAAATGCTTTTCTCCCTGTCTAAAATTTTCCTTGCGTTATAAATTATCACAAAAAATAGTAAGCATGTTTCTGTCTGAAAATGTGGAACTTTAGGAGGTATTTAACTAAAAGCTATGATCTGTTTAAAATCTAGTCATACACAATGATATAAACTGTTTCATTTCAGTTAATTTGCTTGTTGAACATAAGATTATATGCATTTAGTTTCCCCCCTCACAGCATCTGCATAGACATATTAGTGTTTTATTCATCGATCTCCATTTTCTTCTATTCAGACTTTAAAAACATGATTCTCTCTGCATCAACATGAAAACATCTTTCTGTGCTCACATCTTTATCCAGATCATAATAAAAAATTGTGTAATATATCTAAAATGCAATTTAAATACTTAATAGCAGTTATGTAAACCTATTCAATTTTTCTATTCCATCTGGCATGTCCATATTTACTTTTTGCTTCATTTTTTGAATTCATCAAAGTGGGAAAAACAGTCTTAGAATCTTGACTGCATTTTGTACATTGGTGTGAGTTTTTAACTAGTATATCCAAATATGTATCATTATCAGATGGTTAAAAATCTGAGCTAGTTTAAACATCAAATGCAGATTTTACCACGTGATGATAATTACAGAGATTAACTGGTGATAAGTGTTATTTCAAACTGTTCCAGTTTGAATTTTATCAGTAAATCTTCACATTATATGTTTTAGGATGAGAGCAGTTATTTGATTTGCTTTTCTACTACAGTGATGCATAGTGCTTGATAAGGGTATTATTTAGTTTTAATGTGAAATAGTGAATAATAAAAGGTCAGCATTTAACTAATTTAGACACATCAAGTTTATTAAAGTTATGAATGGGCAGAATGGGGATGGAGCTTGTTACATTTACTTATACCAAAGAATGAGGTTTCCTGCTGTAGAACATTCTGGAGTTTCTACAGTATATAATCTTATTCTGTCTTTTACTCCACTTTAGGTGTAAAGCAGTTTACTAAATCATAAAGTTTGATCGATACTTTCTGATTATCTGCATCTCTTATAAAAAAGATTGGTGAGGCAATGCACCATGCCATCAAAAAATATTAATGTTGCACGATGTTACCAAAGAGTATTTATATGGCAAACCAGGTATGTGCAACTGATGTGTGTTTGAGTATATACATGTATTTGCAAATTTGAAATTTAATGGTAATTTTTTTAATTAGTATTTCTTTTTATATTAAATGCATTTCTTTATGTTATAATGAATCGTAATGGGATTGTGGAGTTTGCTGGCTGATGATAAAGAATTGCATTTCTTCAAAAATGTGCTGTTTTGTTCAATAATAGAAAATGCAAAAATTTCGCATTCTAGGAAGTTGTATTTCTTAACCAACCAGACTTTATGGTAATGCAATGTGAAAAATTGCAAGGGAAGTGTTAGAAGGCAGATAAAAAAACTGCTTTGAAGAGAGCTGTATCTTGTTTACAACTACTACTTAGTTTAATTATTGTTGAATACCCATGAGTGAAACTCTGGAGGTCTGAGATTATTCCCAAATGCAATGATTGATTATTGTCATTACCTCCAGAAGTATGTATGTCTGCTTTCGGGAAAAAAAAAAAAAAAAAAAAGGTTATAGGTAAATTGGCAGCATTGTATGCATCATTGAAGTTGTAAGGATATTCAAACAAACAAAAGTCTTCGAAGTCACCAGTGAGTTTGCCAATTCTCCCCAAAGCTTCTGATGCATCCACGTGCAAATAATCAGAAATTACCACTGATGTTTGACCATTTCAAATGCTTGTATTGAATGAATTATAATTTTCATGTCTTTTGTATGACTAATTGGAGTGTACTTTTTATTAGTCAAAAAAGAATAGTTCGTTGCTGTTCTCTAAAAAACTTATAAATCCTTTTGAACATGGCATTATTATTTTAATGAGCAATTGCTAACAGTTATTGAAAATGTTAAGAAATGCATGACAAAACAGATTTAAACATGAAAACCAAACTGAAACTAACTTTAAAAAATTGTTGCCAACTTGCATATGTATATCTGGATAATTACTTCAGTCTGCTGATAAAAATCCTAAAAGTCTAAATAATTTTACTAGACATTTTGTATTTTTATTACCGAATGGTAAATTTTAGGATACAGGGGTGTATCTAAGTTTTTCTGTTTTTCAAACTTTTACAGTTATGTATATATTAGATGTAGTGTTACCTACAATTGAATAATATTAATAAGGGATTTTTAGCCAGAGAAATTTGGAGTTTTCTGAAGCTTGTTTTGTATGTATGTAATAGTAATATATTTTTTTGCTTTTATTTGATGGAAATTTTAATGCAACCTCTGAAATACATTGTACATATAATGAAGGGACCATTTAATGATAGAAATCAGCCTTATGAAGCTGTAGTATCATGGATATTTTAGATATATGTGGGGGGAGGGCCTAGTCATGTGTGTGGTGTGAAGATTAAGTTTCAACACATAATTAATTTTGCTCATTAAATCTGCTTTTACTTTTCACTTTGTACCAAGAATCAAATAATGATTCACAGCTCATGTCTTCATTTGCTGGTGTATATTATTAAAACTTCTAAGAAACTGGAAGTATTTGTAATTGTGAATCTCATATCTCAAGCTGTTGATGATAGGAATGGTGCTTATTCAATGGATTTTTTAATATGTGAGATACCTTTTTTAATATGTGAGATGCATTTTTTGATTATTTTCATATAATATGTATGCAAAGCATACTAAAGGATGTTTATGAAATGGAAGATAATGTAAATATGTTATTTATGTTAAATCATACATCGATTTTATTATATTTTATCTGCATTTGAATTTATTACCTATGTCTTGTTAAAACTTATTTCAAAATATTTCATTATATGCTTTTTTGTTTAAATCTTTCAAACATTCATATTAATGAATATAAGAAAATAAAAAGTATTGTATATTGCCTATACATAGACCTCACATAATAATCTTAAAGTTATGAATTCATGAAAAATAGTAATAAAAATCTATTTTCTGAAAAATCCGGTTATTTCTGAAGAAAACTTTATTTCATTAAAGATACCTAAAGAAGATTACTTATTCTGTAATATTGTACTATGTATTGAGACTGAATCTTTAGGCTTTTAAAAAAAAAATTTTTTTTTTTTTTTTTTTTTTTTTTTTTTTTTTTTTTTTTGTATACAAAATATGAAAAGATAAATGTAAAATAAATCAAAAAGTTGGATATTAACAAACCATTCTTTTAATTGTTTAAATGTGTGAGTTAATTTTCTTTTTAATTGTAGAACATAGAAACTGTAAAGGTATTTTTCCCCACATGTGTTTCTGATGTAATGGTCAACACTTCCAGCTAGCACTGGAAAGTCTCATATTTTAATTCTCAGTGAGAGTGTCATTGATTTTCAAGATTCATGCTCACAAAAAAGTGTTAACCCTACTGTATGAGCATATGTATTTGAAAATATTTTTAACATTCTGATGAAAATGTAAAAAGCAGCATATTTAATGTGTGATTTTTTTTTTCTTTCTTTTTTTGGAGCTTGTGCATCATACAATTTTCAGTTCTTTGTTTAAGTGCAGTAATTCTTCTTCCCCTTTTAGAGCAAATTTTAGTACTTTCTAGTTCAGTTTTGTCATGGGCAGTTTTTCAAAGCTAGTATAGTTGAATCTATAGAACAAAATATTTTACTTTCAGCTCTGATTAAAATGAAATAAAGATTTTTTTCATCTGTTTTAAAGGTAAAGCTTTGTGCATTTGAGGGTTGTACAGCCTGACAGTAAATATTTCCTGTTGTCATGGGTTCAGCCATCATGTATAGAATATTTCCCCCCGTTCATTACATTTAAATAGTTTTTCCTCTCACATTTTGCTCTATGTTTTAGGTATTATTCAAATGTAGTAAAAATCAGTCAAAATTGTGTAGTTTTCTTCCAGTAATAGATGACTTATTAACAAAAATTAATCAAGCATAATAGGAGTTGTGTTCATTAGAAAAGTTTTGAATGAAGTTTTCTTTAATTATGATGAATGTGACTGATATTCAGGTTATGAAATCGATTTTGTACAGTTAAAATTGTTTTGATCTTGTAATTAAAAGATGTATTTTTCTTCCATTGTTTAAATTTGATTTATAAGTGTAGTTTATAAGACGGAAGCATTTGCATTCTTTTTCTCCTTCTCTCTCTCTCTCTTTTTTTTTTTTTTTCTTTAAGATTAAAAGTGAAAAGATGCATTTTATCATAGAATGAGAGAATTTTGACATGTATATCCTCCTCTCTTTTTATGCTGGTTAATAAAGTAATACTTATGCATTTCTAAAATAGTAACCCTTTGAAAAAAAAATTTGTATGTCAAATTTTTAGTAAATAGTTTTGTACAAATGTAAATATTCTTATAAGCAACATTACTTGTGTCATTTGAAGTGTTGCAAATGTATGAATACTTCTTTGAAACGTAATGCAGAATGTAGATGGACTTGGGGAAAATATGCACGAGAATGTTTTGTTAAACTTGTTAATGATAATTTAGAGGAGAAATGTGTGTAAAATGCTATGCTATTATTATGAATCCTTCAGCAAATGAAAACACTTTCGTTCTGTTGTCTGTATTACTGAAATATTTGCATTTGAGACATCTCTCAGTATGGCGTTGTAGAAAGCAATAAAGTCCCTTTAGTGTAAGAGGTGTATTTAGTGTATTTTCCTCTGTGGCTCCATACTATTAGGATAGATAATAATTACTGTATATTTTTCATAGTTTTACTTTTAGAGTTTATGTAACCATATTGTTTTGCTTCTTATTGTTGGTAGTTTCTTTTTTGTCTGGAAAAGATATGGCATGCATATGCATGTACATGCACATTGAAAATTTGAATGGTAATCATTTGCCAAAATATGTTAAATATGTAGTGCTTTTTTAATGGTAGTTTCTGATGTAAAATTTCAACTTTGCTGATGATTGAAATCACTTGGCAGCTGATTTACTATTTTTTACACGTAGTCTGTTTGAAATTAGGCTTCGATGCTAGGATGTGGTGCAAGTTACACTATCTAAGAATGTTTCAATTTCATGTTGACAATTATTATTTGCAGTTTAATTTGCTGGTCACTAAAGGTTTGCGAAAGTATTTTACTATGACTGAAATTCTAGTCATAGTTAGTGCTTTTAATAACCTTTAGTGCCAGATGTGGACCATTTTTATAGTGAGTGCAAGTCCTAATACCTGAAGGTTGAGATCTTTCATAATCAGACTACCTTTATTTTCTTCATACATTTTTCATTTCGAAATCTGTGCAACAGATATGTGTTCTTGAAATATAAGTTAATCTTTGCATGTATCTTGGAGCATTCAATTCTGGTACAGTTTCTTTTGTGGTTGTCTACAACACTTATAATTTATTACTTTGAGACATCATGTTTGCTTATTTTAGCTTAAAGGCAGTGCAAAATTTCTTCTCTAGATTCTTCCAAGCTATTCATGTGAGAACTTCTAAACATTCAGATCTTAGTGTTTTTCAGTTAAACGTATGAACAGTTATGTTCCTGGCAAATGGCATCATGATGCATATGCATGCATCTGTTTTACCTAATGTAAACCTAATTAATCATCATTAAAATTCTGTATGTGTATTATTTAGAAGTGAAATAATTTTTTGTTGTTTAGATGTAGCTGAAAGCTTTTTTGGTGGAAATAAAGCATAATGAAGTAATATTTTAGATGTGCTAGGTAACAGATAACTGTTAGGGAAATAATTTTTACTATGGCAGCATGCAGAATTTGTTATAATGGCCAAAACTGTCTGATCTTGAATGTGATGAAGTTCTTTCAACTTTAATGTATTTGAAAAACGTTTCAAGCATTCACCAAGCTGAAACTGTATTGTGAAATGCTGTACATTAATTACACTTTTTGGATGTACAGATTAAAATTAAGACGGAAGCATTTGCATTTAATATATATCCTTTGAAATGTAATAGGAAGCATTTAAATTTTAATGAATGATTTTCAGTTCTAAAATATGTCTTTTAAATTTTGATTGTATGATAGCTTTAGATTATTTCTTTGGTTCATATTTCATGTAGTAGTTTTAATGGCTATTTTATGTACCTTTTCTTATATATATTTGTATGAAGTTGTTTTTTCTTTGTAGCTTTTTGCTTTTCTAAAGAAGGTCTAATCATCTGTAGAAGTTTAAGGGAATCAGGAAAGCCTTATCTGTGCCATGTTAAATCTTTATTTATCTTTTTCTCAGAATCGGCAAGGATTAGGAATATAGAAATTTTATGATGGAAACTAGGATAATACGTTTTGTCTATTTTAACCATAAGTTAAAATATTAATGTGGTTAATTTTTTAATGAAGGGTCACTTTCTTGCTTATATTTTTTCATCATGTTTTATTTTCCCAAGTATCTGTTTAGTGGGTTATAAAATCTGTGCATTTCAATGTTCAACTTTATGAAACATATGCAACAGATTCCCAGTCATCCAACATAAACAAGACTGAATGGTGGTCAGATAAAATGGAACTATCAAAGATGGGTTATTGAAACAGACCTATTGGAAAAACAGCATTATGATGAATCGCACAATAAAGCACAGATGCAATTACTAAGCATCGAAGTCAGTTTGTAATTTCATCTTTTATTGCAATGTCCCCCAAAAAATGATTTCATTAAAAAATAAGATTAAAATTATTTTGCAAGAAAATAAAGATTGCTTTATCACAATATAAACCAATTATACAACAGAAAAGAAATACATTGTTATGGATATTGAGCAAGCAACTGGCTGCTTATAAATTGCAACTGGCTTAACAATAAAGCTAATTAATATTATGTTTAAGGTGGTAATTCAGCTAATATTAGCACCTTTAAGAAGAGTTTCTCAATTAGAAGAACCATGAAAAAACACACAGTATAATAGTAGGAATAATAATGATAACATTTAGCACAAATTACATTTTCATGGCATGTTGAATAACTGAAAGTTTTGTTATTGGGGTTTTATGTGAATCATAAATTTTTTAAAATAAATGTTTACAAAGTTATTAAATTATTTTATTACATGTTCAGTGTTATAAAACAACGTAATTGCAATTATTCAGTGTAAATAGGACTGAGTGGTGATCAGATAATTCAAAACAATTAGTGATGGATTATTAAAGCAGACCCATGGGACAAAAAACGCCATTATGATGAAGCCAATTACATTTGTCAAATGATGAAAAAAGGAATTTTTACTTTTTTATGTTTTGAGAATGACAAGTTTAAAAATTATATCGGATTATAAAAAATGAAGCATAATAATTTGATGACATACTTGTTTACGAAAAGGATTGTTTATTTTGTTTCCATCATGTATGCCTTCCATTTCTTATGGTGGATTTCATTCTGATTGGCAGTTTTATATGTTGACTGTTTCCCCAGACTGCTTCTTCAATTTTACAAGCCATATTAATTCATCTCTGTTTAAATTCATCACATTGTCAAAGGAGACTATAAATTGTTGTGATTATCGGTAAGTTGCAGTTTGTTTAAATGTTTCTTCAGACTGCATCATACCAATCTGACTTTCTTGACAAGAGATTTGGATAGTTTAGGTCATTAATGCTTTTTTAAAGTATTCTTATATTGTGGCATTGTACTGCTGTACTTAACCTGATTTAATATGACAATAAAGAAATAATAAATTATTCACAAATTTTGAAAAGTTAACAGTATGCAGTATTTATGACTAATGAGTAATAGTAAATCAAAATAGAGAAAAATAAGATGTATCACATTTGAACTATCCCTGTTTCATTAAAGTGTATTTAATAAAAGGAAAACTCAGTAGAATATAATTAAGAACTATCAAACTAAAATGTGATAGAAGGGGTTAAAGATTGGAAATCTCTTAAAATATTCAAGTCTATTTGTGAAGGGATTCTGGGAAATTCCTAGAATTTCTCAGTTTCCACTTCTTCAGTCAATTAGCATGATACAGCATTTGGAAAAAGATTTTGTAATATTTAGTACAGTTAAACAATCTTTTCTAAAAGATTTTTGATTGTTTTCGCTTTTCCTGGTCTCCATGAGTAATATTTCAGATTTCACTTAATTGACTTATTAATGAAATTAAATTTGAAATAAATGTTTTGAAGTCATCTTCTGTTTGATGAAGTTATGAACAATTTGTATCCAGTTATATAGATGTATTTTTGTTTTTCAATTATAAGTACAAATGCGGTAAATCTGTGTTTGGACAAATTAATTTTCCTTTTGTTGAAGATTTTTCATTTTTTCTGAAAGTGAATTTTTGCAAATGTAAAATCATTGAAACATATAAAAGAATGATATACAACTTAATTAAAATTCAGAACGTGAAATATATATTGAGAAAGTAGTTTACTGAAGAACATTAAGGTATTGTATTACATTTAAGATAACTTAGTGCTTCCATATGATGTTTCAGTTCAAGGTCTTTCAATACAATTGCATTGAATTTTATCTTACTTCTATACTGCTTAGGACATTTTTCTGTTGAGAGTTTGTTACTGAAAAAATTATCTTCTTGACCGGCATTGTCTGTGATAGCCTATCATGAAGAACTGTAGTTATATCTTGTTTTCATTACCCTATTTTGTGTGTTAGATAGGTTTACACAACAAACATGCAAAGAAGTAAAATGTGTATTTTATATGAAAAAATAAAAAATTGTTTCTAGATGTGAGTATAAACAATTGTTTTCAGGCAAATGTTATTAAAATCTTTATATCATTTTTACTCATTTAACTGTTTCTGCATTTATAAACTTATTTAATGAGTTTATGAATAAAAAATGTGTATAAATTATCCTTTACAAAGGAAAAGTGTGTCTTTGATTCAAGAATGCAGGAATTAAAATATGTAAGGTACAAATGGGGGCTTATTAGCAAGATTTTTTATTCATTCTAGTAATGAGCATAGTGGTGAAACTGATGAAAAGAAGTGATATAATAAGAAAATAGTATAAATTACCTTAATAGAATTTAATAAATTTGTATTACACACACAAAGTTTCCAAGAACAAGACAACACATTTTGATTTCTTCTACTAAACATTTTAAGCATGGAATGAGACATCAAGATGAATATACAGGGTGATTCTAAATTGTTTTTACATATGAGAGAGGTGATAGTACTCGTACAGACGAGCAACAATTACCCATAGAACATAGGGTCGCATTCCACTCTGAGAGGTAGAAAAGAGGAATATTAGAATTCCAACCTGAACTTGCAACAGTTTTGGGAGAGCGAATGAACGAGACCAAAAGTTGCACAATCAGTTTAATGAAAACTCACAATAAGTGCACAAAATGGATAAAACCGAAAACTTTGCGTTCAAGTGTTAATTCGAGCTCAGACTTTGATGGCAAACTCTCAAATGCACATCTTTGGTTGGTAAGGTCTCAACCTCGCAAACGATTGTAACAAGTGAATTATCTAATCAGGGGCTGAATATTAGCAACTAACTCCAACTTCTGCTGTATACCAAGATTAGCATGAAAAGTTCATGCTATGTTCCAGCTGTCAGAACTTTGTGTCCCATAGAAGGGCACTTCAAGTAGAATGTGCGCAGCACAGTAAGTCCAGGAGGAAGGAAAAAAACTGCTACCTTGATACTTGATATTAAGGTAACAGTTTTTCTCCCTAATAGATAATTCTCCCCCCCCTAATAATTTAGATAGTTAACTTGTTACAATTGTTTGCGAGGTTGAGACCTTGCCAACTAAAGATTTGCATTTGAGCGTTTGCCATTGAAAGTCTGAGTTCAAATTAACCCTTGAATGCCAAGTTTTCGGTTTTATCCATTTTGTGCACTCTCTGTGAGTTTTTCACTAAACTAATTGTGCAACTATTGGTCTCGTTTATTCACTCTCCCAGCACGATTGTATGTTCAGGTTGGAATTCTAATATTCCTCTTTTCTGCCTCTCATAGCGGAATGCGACCCTATTGTCTATGGTAATTATTGCTCATCTGGATGAGTACTATCACCCCTCTTAATTTGTAAACAATTTAGAATCACCCTATATATATACTGAAGATAACATTGAGAATTCTGTATAATTTGAATAAAAGTAAGACACTTTACAGAATTAATTGGTTGTATACTTGCATCAGTTAGGTAATGGAATATAATTTTATAAAAAGAGAGAAATCCTCATTGACTGTTGTATCTAAAATATGAAATGAAATATTGTGTATGCTGAGGAAAATGGAATTCATTTATATTTCGTTATGTATTATAATTTCCCATCTTACGGATATGCTCGCATACATGTGTTATTTGTGTGAGCATATTATCACCTAAATTTATACAGTCAAAAGTCGTTAATCCGGACTCGTCGGGACTTCGGCAATTCCGGATTATAGATCATCAGTTTAAATCTGGTAAGATGACATGCAGAAATTACAAAATTAAAAATATGAAACCGTAATTTATGAAATAAAGAACAATTATGATCTAAGGGTATCAAAATTTAACAAAAGAAAAAAGCTTAATATTTATTTGTTTACTTTATTAAACATTCTTTCAATGTAAGTTGCTTCGTTTCATGTGATAATACTTTCTCTTTAATTCTTATTAAACAGACATAATTTCTTGTTTAGTTAGGAAGTTCCGCTGTTCAAGTCCTATAATTGCTGTGTTGAGAATACCGACTAATTTGTCAATCGAAATGTTTTCGTTTTCAATAACCTCTGTGTCACTTTCTTCACTATCGGAAGCGAATTATAATGACGAGGAACTTGATTTAAATCATATCAAAGACGGAGTACATCGAGATGAAATACTACACTTAGCAAGGAATTATAAGCCAAATAAAATAAAAACATCTGCCCTGAAGATAAGGATAGTGCTGACAGATCAACTTCCAATCCGCGGCGTGGAAATTGATAAACAGATTTCGAAGTTTCAAAACATACTTTCGCTTTGTAGATACAAATTACATATTAGTAAATATATATTCGGAAATTCTATTTGACATAATCGAAAGTTCAAGCTTACTTTTATGAAATTGCTCTAAGAGTCTGCAAAAAATAATAAGCCGGATCCAATTCGAAGATTAAGGAACAACGCAATCTGCAACATTAACTGAATTAGATAATTTTAGCTTAGCTTATACCTCCGTTACACATTAAACGCGCATGCGCACAAACATATTCGCAGCCGTAAAGGTCTTACTCGCTCTCGTAAACGCCTGTGCGCATGCGTGAACGCGACGCATGCGCAGAAAGGTTGTAGCTTTGAGGTCCGAATTAACGACTTTTGACTGTATCTTTCCTAGAAACGAAAATTAAGACCTTAAAAAACGTGTATGTAAGTGCTAACATGACACATATATGTATTTTTTTCTCTTTAATGCGTGTAAAATATCTTTGTATTCAGAATAAGTTTTCAACTTTTTAAGAAAAGTCTTCCAATGCTAAATGCTTAATTAATTTAAAACCTGAATTGAATATGGCTGATTCTGCACATTCAGAAAGAATCATACCAATTAGCTTCTCAATTTTTATTAGTAAATTAAGGATTAAATGTCACTGAAGATAAATTGCTGGCAAAATTTGACAGCATTTTGGAAATTTTGCAAGTTCAAAAATAATACAACATGTTATTGATTTTGCATGCTCTAAACTACCAATGTACAATGAATCAACTGCTAATTTTTTATCATTACATATTTCTAGATAAGCAGAAATCTTTTCCCCAAAATATTATTTTCCTTCTGATGATGTTACATCTTTACTCAAAATGTTTTTTCAAGTCTGACATTCATCTGAAGCTATGAAATTGTATTAATATAAATCTTAAGTGGTTTGCTTTGCTTATTTGTTTTTTATGTATTTTTATTTAAAAGACAATTGCCGTCGCAAGTAAATTAACGTTTGGTACTTACTCACATTGTCAGTCTTGTACTTTGATTCATTTTGATAAATGTAGGTAATATAAAGTGTATTAACTATTTTGATAATTTTTCTAGTGTTTCTCATTGGTGCTTTAAATTCAACCATTGCAGAATGTTTAATATCACATGCAAAGTGTATCATTTACATCATGTTAACATGATTACAGTGCAGGAAATCTTTTTACAATAAAAAGTTCAAGAACTTTTAAACTTAAAGAAAATTGTTCTACCAACATTCTGGCTGTGTTTTTATAATCAGCTTTTGTAATTGCCTGTTAAATTAATCTGCATTGACAGTTACTACTTGTCTCTAGTATCTCAGAAACTTATTTTTAATCATTATGTCTTTCTAAACTGTGTTATAGTAGAATCATTGATATTTTCCTTTTCCATACCAAAAAAAAAAAAAGAAAATTAAACATTTGAAGTTTAAATGCCTTTTCTTGTCAGTCTCATTACATCAAAACACTGTTTTTAAATTGCAAAGGTGATGTTAAATCTTTATAAGGTGATAATTTGATTAAAGTAAATTTTCTCAGATGTAAGTGTCTGTCTTTATAATTAAACAATCAATCAATTGTACCTTGATTTGTAAAATATTACAATTTTCCCCCTTTTAGTTTAAGAAGATAAAGTATACTATAAAAATGTTATACTTTTATGAGTAATATAATAGTCTTACATCTTTAAATGACTATTCATAATTCTTTTTATTTCTGTTTAATGCCAAAAGTGGTTATTTTTTTCACTTTGAATACTAGATTCTGCATGTAGGTTCATTTTTAGAATAAAACTGAAGCTAAGTTAAAACAGCTAATATAAGAGAAAAATCTAAGTGTTTCATTGAAAAGTATGCTAAACGGAAAAAATTAATTCTGAGAGATGGTCAACATTAGTTAGTAATGAATAATGAATATTTTATTTTTGTGATATAAAATTGTAGATGAATTTTGTAAAGAGAACTAATAAATCTTTCGTTTCTGAAATAGTTTTCTGCTTTTAGTTCATTAATTATTTTATGAGTTATAAATGAAAGATTATTTTATTGAAACTTTTTTCCCTTCTTTGTTTTTAGTATAAATGTTATCAATCAAATTATTCAACTGAAAATATTTTTTCAGCAATGAATAATTGAATTACTCTTTTACTTCCAACAATTCTGTCATTATTTACAACCTTACATTAAAATATATTATTTTTAACTTTACATAAAAATTTATGTACGTTATTTGTGGTAAAAAAAAAAAAAAAAAAAAAAAAAAAATGTATGTATTTGATCTTAGAGTAGCATGGATGGTGTACTCAACTTTCTCTTCATTTTCACTAGTGCATTATTATTATATAGTCTGTTTTTTCCTGTCAGCTTTGAGCTACCCAGCTTTTGAATTTTAAGTCTTGCATCTGACTTTATTAAGAGCAACATATGCTTGAAATTCTGCAATTAATTTTGTCCTTAGATAAATTACTATATCTGGCGTACATGTGGTCTAGGAAGTAATGTGTACCAGTTTGGTAGCCGGCTAAAAAAAATTTTAAATTCTAGTAACTCGCCTAGTCATTATTATATTATTCTTGTTTTAAAGGAAGGTGAAAAAATTGTTTCTGTGAAAAAACTGTGAAAATTTCAAAGTTTTATAACTGATACTTTTTTGGATGTTAGAATTTTAGAATTCTATAAAAGAAAATTATATTTTCCTCCAAAAACTAACAAAATCAGCTTTTAAAATGAGATTCTGAGAAAAGCTTACTGAAGTTAATAAAATTGCACAAAGATGTCATTGCAAATAATTTTAAATGGTAATCAATCATTAAACTGTACCCTTTTTGAGATTAATAAAATGAAGTGAATAGTAAATGCAAAATTTATGTATAAAAAAGGGTGGGAATAGTATTTATAAAATGGCAGAAAACTTCTATATTATGCTTAATGCTTTTGCGAATACCAAAGGACCTGAGGTATCGTTTTTGATATT